ATCTTGTCTGGGTTTCGTTCTGTAGAAAACGAAAACCCCACCAAAATTCATTATTCAAGTTTTGATCTTTTTAATCTCCTTTCCTTTCGTCGCCATGAAAATTAATTTCTTAGTGAACTCTGGCCCTTCGTTGTTTTTTCTGTATTTTTCTCCCCTGGGGCTTTCCTTATTTGTCTCTTTTGATGAATACATGCTAATCCGGAAGCTATAATTTGGTTCTCCAATTCCTTCTTTTTCTATTGCATGAGCCTGTGCTGTTTCTTAAATCCATCATTTTCTTCCGCTTTTTCTCGTCCTTTCTTTCGGACCAATCTCCACTTTCCTTTCCTTTTGCTTCTCCAATTCGATTCGTACCACTAGAGGCTTTGCCTTTCCTTGAACCAGAAGCTCTGTTATTTCCTAATGAATCCGTCGTACTCGTTTGCGATCATCAGATGGATAGATCACCTTCTCCTTCTCTTCTCTGCCCTAAGCTGTACTCTGTAATTTCCATGAACAATTTGATTCCCCTGCAGGTACGTTCAATGATATACATACCTCTCTTGTTCCTTCTTTGATCGTATCAGATGTAGATTTTGTTCAATATTGATTGCTGAAACAAAATTGCTATATAAATAAGAGATTGCTTCTGCTGGTGAGATTCTGAGAATGGCAGAAGCTGCTAGCTTGAGCAGTGGAACAATGGTGGAAAGTGATATTATAGCGATGAAGGAGACGCTTCGCGCTCAGCAACAACTTCTGCAGAAGCTATATGCAGAGTTGGATGAGGAAAGAGAAGCTTCTGCAACAGCAGCGAGTGAAGCTCTTGACATGATTCTGCGTCTGCAAGGAGAGAAAGCAGCAGTGAAGATGGAGGCTCGACAGTATGAGAGAATGGCGGAGGAGAAGCTGGAACATGCAGAGACAACTCTTGAGATCTTCGAAGAGCTTATGTTTCAGAAAGACATGGAGATTTCTTCTCTGGAGAATCAAGTTCAGGCTTGTAAGAGAAAGCTTCATGACCTTGGATGTGATCCTAATCTCAATGACTTTGAGCTTCAAGAGAACAATAGTAGTAATAATAATACTCAGTTGCTTCAAAGAACTGATGAACATCTTCGTTCGAACTCAGAAAATGGATCTGTCAGAAGACTCCATTCATTGCCTCCGTTACCTGTTAATAAGAACAGCTTGAGAGCTGCAAAGAAGAGAGAAAGATCACCAAGTCCACATCATCATACAGATATGATTCAAACAATAGAGGAAGAGAAAACTGAGAAAAAAGCTTTTCAACAAAGCACGTTTTTCGCCAACAACTCGGTAGAATCTACACATGAAACCCTTGATTCATACTGGCAACAGATTATAAAGTTAGATGAGAAGGTGAAAGAGATATCAGATTGTAAGGAAAGAGAAGGAGACAAGGTTCCGAACCTGAGAATTAGGAGACACAGATCATGTTCATTATTTCCAAGAACAAGGAATAAGACAATCTCTAGTATTAGTTCAGATCAAGTTCATCATGAAGTTAAGCAGCAAAATAGGGAAGTAATTCTAGATCCTTCTTGCTCAGTAAATGTTCATGATGTGTTTGAAGTTCCACAACCTGGTGGTGGGGAGAATGATGGAGTCAATAAACATGGGAAAAATAGACTTGAGAGGTTGAGATCAGATTTAGATAACAGATTAACAAAACCAGACCCAGAAGTGCCAGAGGAAAAGTCTGAAGCACTCTCTAGATATGATTCAGGAAAGCTAATGAGAATTCTGAGCACAAACATGGAAACAAAAGCACACAGTCCAAATAGTGGTGGTAGTAATAATAATAATAATAAGATCACTTGTATGTTTGGCCAGAAAATGGAAGGAACGAGTGTGGAATGCAACGGGGAAGCCGAGTTTCACCTTCTTTCGAAGAGAATCGAGAGGCTTGAGAAGGAGAGGGAGAGAGTGATGAGCTCAAGGCAAGAGATTACACATGAAGGGGATGGTGAAGAGCAGCTTACGCTCTTGAAGGAAATACTCAGCCAGGTCATATCAATGAGGGAAGAGATTGTAAGTTCAGAAGCAAGAAAATCTCCACCTAAGGATGATGGGCTTTTGAATCCTCTTCAAGAGGTAAGACACAAACACATACACATACATATTCTCTGGTGTTGTTGCCTTTGTTTGTAATTGATCTGTTCTGATTAATATGATGATCAAAAAATATCTATGAACAGGCAATGCTGTACTTCTGGATTTGATTAGGTGACTGGTCAATGCATCATTTGGTAGAAGTGCGTGAAGGTATCTGATAGTTTTAAGACGTGTGGATTTGAGGCCATAGAGTAGATTCATTGATTTTGAAGATAGTTTTTGAAATGTCTATATCCTGTTGTAACTTCATCTTGTACATTAGGCACTGATACTACAGTGACTTGAAGCTCCAGTAGAGTTAAGAATGTTCTTTTTTTCTTTTGTTTGTTTGTTTCTTTCTTTATTTTTATTTTTTTATTTTATCTCAGATTGAGTTTTGATGTATACTTGAATTAGCAGAGTGAGGAGCTTCCTGATACTGTATTGTCATGCCATGAGAGAGAATAAAATGTTGTGGCGATTTTCCAACCTCATAGTGGAAGTGAGAGCAGATAAGTTACTGTTTCATGAGAAGCCAATGCTAAACTCATCAAAATTTATATGCTGCTTCTTTTATTCTTCAGATCCTTTTTAGGCTTTTCATGGAAAATTGTTTGCTTTCTGAAAGTCCTGAATGTATCACCCTGTTTATACAGATCATTAGGGGCTATATATATATATATATATATATTAATCAAGAAGCTGTGAAAAACAAGGGTCATGAATCAGTAGGGCTGTGCAAAAAAATTTAAAACCCGGTCTGTTTGGTTTGACCCGGTGCAACCCGGTCTGACCCGGTCTTAAAAAAATCAACCCGAATAAAAGACTGGACTAAACGGGTCAGACTACACATACGGGTTAGACCAGACTAGAGACTGATCTTTTGGACCAATTAGTCTGGCCCGGTCCAGGTTATTTTTTTAATATTAAATATTAAATAATTATATTATTTACACACAAAAAATGAAAAAATCTCACGCTGACAGACTGACTCGCTGACTCTGAGCCTCACCTTCACGTCTCACGCCGCCCTCAGTTACAGTTCCTCACACGCATGCCTCGGATTCGGTCCGTGAAGTCTGAGTATCTGTCCGAGGCTCTGAGCTCAGTACCTCATTTGTCATTTCTCCCGTTGCCCTAGCTGTAACTCTCTGGTTTCACTCATCTCTCTGCCTTTCCTTGGTCGGCCGTTGCTCTGTTTTTCCTCAAGCATGCCGATGAAGAAGAACATCACGATCGCTTGACTACTTCACTCAGCCTTTCGATTCATCGTGCATTTTCCTCCTTCTTCTCCAGCGACAGCATCGCAGCTGAAAGGTATTCGTATTTTATGGTTTTTCTTCTAGTTTTGCTCGCTCTATTTTATGGTTTTTCCGTTGCTCTGTTTTTGCATTCTGGTTTTTCTTGCTTGGTTTCTGGTTTTTCTTGCTTTGTTTCTGGCTTCTTCGACAATTTCTGTTCCATTTTCGCATGCTTCTGTTCTGTTACTTCTCTCTTTCTGGTTTTGTTTGCTTTTCGTTGAGGCTGCTACGGTGAGAGATGTACTATTGTTGCCATTTTCAAAGGTTCACATTTCTACCCTTTTGGCGAGAGACGCTTCTATTGCTGCTATAGACTGATGACTGATCTTTTGTTGCTAACTTGCTATAGATGGCTTCGGTTTTGGAGGATCATTCCTTATTTTTGGTTGATATAATCTGATATTTATTCTATTTTTGGTGAGGTTGCTATTCTGATATTTGAACCTTATATCAGTATTTTAAGGATAAATTTCTACAACAATTAGATTACCTGTGCTTATAATATTAATTGTTGGATTTGGTTTGTTGGTGATCATGACAGAGAAGTGGCTCTGTGCCTCTGTATATGTCATACTTCTTTGAGAAAAGTCTGACTCTATACTTGTGTTTGTGATTTTATAAGTTAACATTGTGTCTTGTTTTTCATATTAGAAACATGGTGGACGAAACTTCTGCATCTGCTAGTATTGACCAACCCTTGCCATCACAATTAATTGATTCTAGTCAAAATGAAATGCCACCTCTTATTGGACCAACTCCACCAACTCCTCCTCTTGTAGCTATTGATCCTGCCTCTAACCTTGCACAAGATTGTGGTCCAGAGAATGTGAGCAGAAAGAGAAAAGAGCCTGCAAAAAAGAGTAAACAATCACAAGTTTGGGAGCATTTTGTAAAGTTACCTTTGGAAGAAACAAATGGAGAGGTTAGAGCTTCTTGCAAATACTGTCATGCAACTTATGCTTGTGACCCAAACAAGCATGGGACAACATCATTGAAAAGGCACTTTCCAAAATGTCCTAAAAACCCACATAAGGCTACCACAATACCAAAGCAATCAATGTTGAACTACGTGACGCTAAGTGGACAAGGAGGGGGCTTAGTCTCTCATGTTTTCAACCAAAAACGATGTAGAAGGGCATTGGCTGAATTTATTATTTGTGATGAGATGCCATTCAGGATAGTTGAGAAGTATGGGTTTAGAAATTTTGTGAGAGAGCTAGAACCAAGATTTCGAATCCCTTCGCGAACAACAGTTGCTAGAGATTGTTGGCAACTATACCTTGGAGAAATCAAGATATTGAAGCAAGTGTTGAAGAAGTCTGCAAATCGTGTTTGCTTGACAACTGATTGCTGGACATCTACTCAAAATTTCAATTACTTATGCCTTACTTGTCATTTCATTGATCCTGAGTGGAAGTTGCACAAGAGGATATTAAATTTCTGCATGATTGAGAATCATAGGGGTGACACAATTGGAAAGACAATTGAGAAGTGTCTATTAGAATGGGGAATTGAGAGGGTGTTTACCATAACAATGGATAATGCATGTCTAATGACACGGCTTTGTCTTATTTGAAAAGAAGGCTTAGGAATTGGAAGGGCATGGTTTGTGGGGGTGATTACCTTCAATTGAGATGTTGTGCACATATTCTTAACTTGGTGGTTAATGATGGGTTGAAGGAGTTGAAGAACAGCTTTGATGCAATTCGCAATGCAATTAAATATGTTCGTTCTTCTCCTGCTCGTCTCCAAAAGTTTAAAAGTGTTGCTGAGTTGGAGAAATTGGACACTACTAGCCTTGTTTGCCTTGATGTCAATACTCGGTGGAATTCAACTTACTTGATGTTGGAATCCGCTTTGAAGTTTCAAAAGGCTTTTGAACGCCTAGAAGATGAAGATGAAGATTATATGGGGCAATTCATTGGAGGCACTAAGCGTGAAGGCCCTCCTAAAGCTAGTGATTGGAACAAGGCACGTGTCTTTCTCAAATTTTTGAAGGTATTCTATGACATAACTTTGATGTTTTCAAGTTCACTAAATGTTACTTCTAACACTTGTTTCCATCAAATTGCTCTTATTCATGAGTTGTTGGAAGAGAACATTGTGAATGTTGATCCTTTGCTTATGGAAATGTCCCTAAGTATGAGAAGCAAGTATGAAAAATATTGGGGTCAAACAGAAAATATGAATCCTTTACTCATTGTAGCAGTGATTTTGGATCCTCGGTACAAGCTTGCTTATGTGAATCATATATTTGAGCAGCTTTTTCTTGATCTTGAAGTTTGCATGGCCATGAAAATTAAGATCAAAGATGTCTTGTACCGTATGTTTGATGAGTATTCTAAAGGACTAGGGACTAGTACCCCAAGCAATGCTTCTTCTTCTACACTTCCAGGATCATCAACATGTTCAATGCTTGAAGGCCAAGGGGGTATAGATCCAGGTCGCAGGTGGTTAGCATCTCAAAAAGAAAAAACCTCATTAGACCCACAATCAGAATTAGATAAATATCTTTCATCTAATTCTGCTGATGATACCCCTGTTGATGATGATTTTGATATATTAGCATGGTGGAGAGCCAATTCTAGCAAATACAAGGTTCTTTCTATGATGGCACGTGATGTCTTGGCTGTTCCAGTGTCTACAGTGGCCTCTGAATCAGCCTTCAGCACAGGAGGACGTGTAGTGGACTCTTATAGGAGTTCATTATCACCAAAGATGACTGAAGCACTTATATGTGCTCAAAATTGGCTGCTTCCTGGACAATCCATCTCTGAATTTGCATCCATGCTTCAAGAATTTGATAATTTTCAAGAAACCGAGGGTGTGGTGAAGACTGGTATGTGTTGCAATGATGATATTGACTATTTATATTTTATATGAATTATTATATGTTTCAGTTGTATTTTTTTTATTTGTGATGTAATGCTATTGACTATTTATATTTTATATATTTTTTCAGATCTTTCCAGTGTTACTGATGTTGGAGAGGATGGTTGTGTGAGCATCATTTGATGTTGTATGGCGCTTATGTTTGTTAACTTTTAAACTTTCAGATATTTTGGATATATTTTAGGCACATCTCACTAACTTTTTGTTATGTGAAGAAGCATGATGATAGTTTGATAGGCTAATGCTTATTTTTTTGGCTAGCTAGCTATATCATGTGGTTGGCTAGAATATGTGGATAGTCATTTTTTTGGATAGACTATAGAGCTTGACAATGAAATGTTGAATTGTTGACTAAGTAGACTATAGTGAGATGTATATATTCTGAATATGAATATATTAATGAGTTTATGTATTTGCGTCACTCTCATGCATGCTCTCATTCCTCTTTAGCTCAAGACTTGGAAAAAAGAAACATATGCAAAGCATATATGTTCTATTGTGTTTTCATGCCATACGTAGACAGCAAAAATATTAAACAATATAAAAAAAGAAAGGGGATATAAAAAAAAGCCTATGATATTAATGCAAGTGATTATAGGGAAGGGGATATAAGGGCTTTTTTTTTTGAGAGAGTTGGATTCAAGAAACCAGACTGGTCCAGTAACCCGGTGGACCAAGTCCAACCCGGTCCAGGTCCCGGGTCCAACAAGACTGGACCAGTCCTTGGACTGAAAATTCTAGCCCGGTCTCCATTCAGACTAGACTTCGGGTTGGCATCCAACCCGGTCCAGTCCAGTATTTGTGCAGCCCTATGAATCAGTATATACTCTGTTTGAGAGATTATTTGTTAGTATGATTATCAGCTAACTCAATTTCTACAGAGGAATTAAATATGTAGCAACTTTACTTTGATCGCTATAATTTATTTTTAAGTTGGTCTTAACACTATGTTTGATAGATTTTTTTAAGGGAGAATGGAGTGGAGTGGGATGGCTAAAAGATCTAAGTTATTTATGAGTTTTTTTTAAAGAATAATGGAATGGCATAAAAAGGTCTCTAAAGCCCTACTATTATTTTCATTTACAAAATTACCCAACCTCTTATCTTAATTAAAAAATCTCTTCTATTATTTTCATTTTTCAACCATCTCTCTTGCCTTCTGTTAGGGTTGTACATTGGCAAGATCGGGCTAGGCATGACCCCTACTCAGTGCCTAGCCCAATGTGCAGTTGGATACCAGGCTGGCCTAATTGATGAAAAAATATTTTTACAAGTATTTTTTTAAAAATATATTTTCCTTAAAAAATATTATTATTATTATTTAAAACATATTCTTCATAAAACTAATATTAGAATCAAAAATATTTTTTAAAAAATAAATTTTAAATTTTTAAAGAGATTTAAAAAATTTTAATGATAAAAAATGTCTAAAAGATAATAAAAATAACATAATTCATGATAACATTCAATAAACAATAATTCTATAAGATAAATATTATTTCCAAAAAATTTAAAAAATAAAAAAATCCGCACATACTCAGACAAAACAAGGTTTGACCCTTGCCAATGCCTAACTCCATGTGCCTAAATGCCTCAGGCAGGGCCGGGTTAATCAAGGATTCAAGCATAATGCATAACCTTATCTCCCACCATATATATATATATATATATATATCTCTCTCTCTCTCTCTCACATTTCAACATTACAACTTTGATGTGTTTTCATCTTGTGCAATAGGAATATTTGCTTAAAAAGCTCTATTACATGCTTGCTCTTTTATTTTTAATTCTTGGGTATCTTGTTTGACCATTAATTTCAATTATTATTGTTATTTTTTGTTGCATAAATATTGTAATTATTTAATGGGCATAATTATTTTTTTAAATTTAATCATATGGATAATATTGAAAGAAAAAAATTTTTAACCATTCCGTTTCATTCATTTTGTAATAACTTTTAATTAATGGTAATGTAAATTCATTCTTTCCTATCATAAAACTCTCAAACAATGAAAAAAATTATTCCATTTCACTCCACTCCCTTCTATTCCATTTCATTAATGATTGTTCTTTTTTATGCAATCTCAAACTTTTAAACACATTTTAAAGATACAATTAAGAATGTCTTATTTTTTAGTATGATTATAAAAAAGGTGAAGGATCGTGGTTTCTTCTCATTCATCTCCAGGACAAAAGCTTGATGCCTTCCTTCTATTGACAAGTTGGCCCAACCAAGTGTAGCCAAAAAAAAAAATTGGTCCTTAAAAAACTAACAATTATGAAAAAAACACGGAGACAAAGAGAATTAAAAAAAAAAAGTTCAATTAAGATGGATTTTACGCATGGGTTAATGGGCCAATATGGATTCTAGCTCTACATTCTTAATGTTAAGGGAGAATGATTAAGTCAGGTCGATTAATTTAAATTAAGTCTCAATTAATTTCAAAATGTCAATAAGGTTTTTTGGTCTTTTAGTGATAATAAGTATGTCATCGAGATTTGTAAGTTCGACTCTAAATTCTGTAATTTCATTATAATGTATTTGTAATTTGTATTTCAAATTTTAACAAAAACGCAAATGTTCATCTTTAATGTGAGAAATAGTAAGTCTAATATTTCAGAATTTACAAGTTCGGTTTTACAACTTTGTTATGATGCATTTATAACATGTTTTTCCAAATTTTAGTAGGGACCACCAGTGTTCATCTTTAATATTGAAAAGTATTCAATCAAACAACTTTAGAGATTTGCAAATTTGGCTTCCAATTTTGTAATTTTGTTGTTATGTATTTGAAATTTTTTTCAAGTTTTAACAAGAAATACAAATGTTCATCTTTAATGTTGAAAATATTAAATCTAACAGCTTCGAGGATTTACAAAAGACCTTGCTTCCTTAATATTGTGCATACCTTTAAACATTAAAAATAAACATTTGTGTTCTCTATTAAAATTTGTTTTGTTAAAATTTAAAAAATAAGTTACAAATGTATCACAATAAAGTTGTAAAATTGGAAACCAAACTTACAAATTTCTGAAATTGTTAGACTTATTATTATTGAAAGACCAAGGAATTTAGTTATCATTTTGAAATTAGTTGAGATTTAATTTCAATTAATTGATTTTGTTAGAACGTAATTGTCATTCTCCCTAATATTAGTCAAACAAGGCTTTCCCTCTTCTTACAAAAACAAAAAGGCACTCCTCTCTCATCCTCTTTTATTTTTTTATATAAAGAATGTATGACATTAAAGTTCCAAAATAATAAATTTATGACAGTTAAGCCTCTGACAAAATTTTTTTGAAAAATGAATTGTAAATATTGATTTACATAGTCATAATTCAGAAGTTCTAATTGCAAATAAAAAATTTTAATGTTAAATATAACTCTCAATTTGCAATTGAAATTTTTGTTTGCAATTGTTTAAATCAATATTTGCAACTTATTTTTTTAAAAAATTTGTTGAGGACTTTGCTATCATAAATTTAGTTTTGGGACTTTATTGTTATTCTCCTTTTTCTCCTTTTGCCAAAACAGCTTCTTCCACTTCAACACATATCATCTATGTTTGGCATACTATACCAAATGTTAATAAACAAAAAGAGAAAGAAAATAAAAATGAGAAGAGAAAAAACCCACCCCATATCCTTAATTTATATATATATATATATAGAGAGAGAGAGAGGTAGCTATAATTTAACATTATTAGCTGTGAAATTTGTGAGGCAAAATCATCTTTCTCATAGTTATAAGTGTGTATATACAAAACAATAGGAATCTACATCCCTACAATCACGTTAAAGCAATAAACACAATAAATACCATTTAATACTAACTAATGTTACTGCTAGAATTATGTTTATGCAATATTTACAATTAATGCTCAATTACAATCAATTTCAACATTCCCCCTCAAGTTGGAGCATGTAGATTCATAATGCCCAACTTACTTACTAGATACTTCAATCTATTTTTCCTAAGTGCTTTCATAAGCATATCTGCTTATTGGTTCTTTGTCCTTTTTTTCATGGCTCCACTTCACTTAATTGCACTCTTTCTCTTACGAAATAATATGAAATAACAATCTATCTCAATATGTTTGGTTTTCTCGTGAAAAATAGGATTCATTGCTATAAGTAACGCTGCTTAGTTGTCACAATATAATGGTGTTACTTTGTTTTGTGGCACCTTTAATTATCACATAAGCCATGTGAGCCATACTATCTCACTAATTGTTGATGCCCTTACTCAATATTCTGGTTTTGTAGATGATCTTGACACTGATTAATTAAGTTAATGAGATTAAACTTTTCTTCTAGTTGTTCTTATGTTAGGAGTTGTTGTCCAAGTGTCCAGGCAAGTTCCAACTGTTCATATAACTTTAATGGAGTCTAATAATGGTTCTTTACATTTATAATCGTTAGTTTAAGCTAATGACAATGATTAAAGTGGTTAATGATGAATTTAAAGTTAACCCTAATACTAATTAATTAAGTTTATGCTAATGAGATTAGCTAATAGTGTTCATTATGCTAAATAAAGGTTAAATAAAATTTAGAAATGGAATTATTTATAGCTAATATCACTAATTAGGATCTTAAGCCTTTATCGAATTAAGGGGCTAATTAATGGTCATTAATGCTGTTATTAATCATGAATTGTAGATTAGCTGTTCTTAGTGCTCGTGGACTATTAGTGAGCTTCTTGGGAATCAAATTGTACTCTTGGGAGAGTAATCCAAGAGTAGAGGTAATTGAGAATTAAATTCTAGTAGATAATTGGTGTTTGTAATTATGAGTTGAATGTTAATTGCTTGAGATGATCTTGGTTATATGAATATGCAATCATGTTAGTATCGATGGTTGTGAGTTATGTGACTATGATTAGTTGAACTCCATGATTAAGATGCAATATGTGTGATTGAGAATTATGTGACTATGATTGGTTGTATTTCACCATTGAGTTATGTTATGTGTCTAAGTGAATGCTTGGTATGATAATAAATATGAGAATATGATTATGGCATGGAGTTAAGTATTGAATGTGTATCTTTGACTTGATAGCATGTGATTGATTACGAAATAAATTAATCAAGTTCTCATTATAATGTGTCATTAAATAACAT